TCCAAATGCCCATATTCACAGTAGGATGACGTCATTCAAAATTGGATGGCTCTAGGTACCGTTGTTTTATCACAATGCAAGAAACATGCATACATTTATGCAGATTCTTCATTATTTAATTTCTTCAAATGTAATACAGAGCGATAGTATTTTGTGGCATCAGTTTGAAAAGTGCAACGGACATTCAGAGTGATTCAACGCAAAATCGCAAAACGAAAACAATAGTCCTTTATTGACAAAGCCGCTTTGGACTAATAATAATATCAAAAACACTGCATTTTATCTTTTGTCTAACTATGCAAACATTTTGTGCTTTGTTAAAACCCATACTCAAACATATTTATTGAAAAATTATGCATACATTTATGTTATAAAAGCCTCTCAACCTGTTAAGTGTTTTGCGTTGGTGACCGCCGTGCCGAAAGGCCCGGAGAAGACATGGATATTCGTAAATGTGTAGTGTCCGTGCGGCATGGGGGCACTCTAACTATGTGAGGCGAAAGTCCTCTCAAAAGGTTGGTGGTAAGTGAAGAGGTGTGGGAGACGCTCCGACCCGTCCCCCCAGGGCGCTCTCCATCAAAATTGGGGGCGAAACTGAGTTAAATCGCACTCGCACCTGTAAGGTGCTCAAGGCTGTTGCCAACGGCAGGCGTATCTTGCGCTCTTTGCCACGAGGAATTCCGTGGGCTAGGGTTGATGTTACTGTCAGACAAGTGAGCATAAGTAACAACAACAACAAAAAAATATTCATAATCTGGAACTAAAAAGCTGGGAGGCGGACAGGTAAGGAAATACGGTAATTGTTTAAAGCAATAAATACTAAGCTTAAAAGTTTTTATTTTCGATTTAGTTTCTTAAATTTCCTTGCGCCTCATCGGTTTCGTAAATTCTAGTAACTTTTATTCTAATTTAAATGCTAATTCAAGCTTTCAGATTTCAGAGTTGAATGCCAATATTCCTTTGCAAGGTCCTTTACATGCACTTGCGGCAAAAAGTAAGAGAGAATGTAATAAAACTTGGTTTTCATTCTCTGGCGCATTGAGGCGTGGATGATACGTCCTCGAAGAATGGGAAAACTTTCAATATTTGATACCGAAGGAATAGAGTTGATTTGGACCCTTCTTAACAGTTTCCACAATGACCTTAGAAACTGCCGGAAGTGTTTTACTAAGGAGAAAGGTAGAAAATTCGAGTAATTTGTTCGTCAGGGAGCGCGGGAAAAATTTCTGCTCATTGGTCAGCGACGAACCCATCTTCATTTTTATTTTTCTCCTCCTTCCCAATTTCTTACACACTCTCGATCATGTGAAAGCGAAAAATTTGTGGTTCATCAACCGGCAAATAACGACTTTCTGAGAGAAAAGTTTTTAAAAAAAATACATAGTTCGGGTTGAGTAGTTTTGGTACTGATGGTCTTCATTTATTAGATTCTGAGTTTTATCTCGACAGCTCTGGTTGGTTGGCTTTAGAGTAAAATCGATTATAAATTTAAAAAGAGTTGGTGAAAACTAATGTAAAATGTTCCATGAGTTAAGTTTTTATTTTATTTGCTTTCCGCAATTTTTTATTTTCACATATAAGTCGAGAAATTTTAGCAAATATTTTTATTTTGAACTGTAGGAGGTCTATATAGGAGTTCAAAAATTTGTAGACACCGCTTTTGTAAACACGTTTGTCCACGTCTGTTTTGATAACATTACCCAAATGATGGATAACATGAAACGATGAGAAATAAATGCTGGTAGAAAAAGTTGGAATTTAACTCATTTAACATAAATATAACTAGGCCCACCAGCGGCTGTGCCTCTAAAGTCGCTGAACACTGGTAGTTCGGTCAGAAGTTAAAATCCCGCGAACGGGCTGGCTACATGGACGTTTCCCTGGTTTTCCCCATGCGTAACGTGCATACGATTTAGTTTCCCTTAGAAAGTCCTCCACGAAGGCATCCCTCCTCTTAGGCAGATAGCCTTCGTGGCTTTGCCATATTAAAAATAACCGAATCTTGAATTATGTAGAGTAACAAAGTCGAACACTGGTAGTTCGACCTGGCTGAGATTTAAGGTGAACACAAGGTGAATTTAATTTATTAATTAAGGTGAATAATTTCTTAATTAATAACCGAACTGCTCATCACAACAAGTAGTGCACGTTCCATAATTTTGGATATAAACGGTATTGAGTTCGGCAAATAAATGACAATATCCGAATGATAACATTAACCGGAGATCCCATTAAACGTTGTCTACAGCATTTCGATGAAAAACCTGACATTATAGATTAAATAATCGAAAAATAAATATTGTTTTTATCTTATTTAATTCTAATATGTATTTAAAGTTAGGCAAAACATCAATCGTTTTTAGTTTCGATTTTGACTTATACAGGGTGTCCACTCGAAAGAGGCCCCAAGAAAAATTTGTGATAAAAATCTTACAACAAGAGGAAGTGAAACCAAATTTTTACATGACACGCCTTTATGTTTGAGAAATGAAATTCTCGTTATGAGAGGGGCTGAAATGACCTTCCTCCACCTGTATACACGGTTCAATACGGCGCTACATTTTAGTGTAAGTTGCTGCCTAGGTATACGTGGAATAGTAATGAACAGTGGTTCCACTGTCAGGATACTCGAACTAACAAAACACATGTTCATGGAGTAGTGACAACCAGCATGCACTCGTCGAAGAACCAGCATGCACTTCATTCACAGAAGATGGGCATGTTCTGAGCATTATCACAACGTTGCATCATCGGGCCAACTTCTTTGGCACTACTGTCACCAATGTCGTGTACCAGACACTGTTTCATGAATTTGTGAACCAGCTAGAGGATGAGGAATCGACACTTGGCTGGCACGTCTATAGTGAGTACGACTGCGATGGAAGCTTCTCCAGACTTGATCCTCCGAGTCTTTTTAACTATTCCCAGGCACTGTTTTAGTGCCAGTGTAGTGTACCAGTCAAGTGCATCAGGCAGGTTCAGTGTAAGTGTACCAGGCAGGTTCAGTGCAAGTGTACCAGGCACTGCTCCATGAATTTGTGAACCATCTAGAGGATAAGGAGTTGACACTTGGCTGGCACGCCTATAGTGAGTACGACTGCGATGAAAGCTTCTCCAGCCTTGACCCGCCGAGACTTTTTCAGCATTACCAGGCACTGTTTTAGAGTGTACCAGTCCAGGTCGAAGTATACCAGGCAGGTTTAGTGCAAGTGTACCAGACCTTGTTCCATGAATTTGTGAACCATCTAGAGGATGAAGAGTTGACACTTGGTTGGTACCATCAAGCTGGTACGTCTACAGCGAGTATGACTGTTATGGAATCTTTCTCAAGACTTGACCCACCTTGACTTTTTTCGATGGGATCACGTTAAAGATAATGCATACAAGCAGAAATCTCACTTTATTGACGAGTTACCTCAGATCATCCGTCGTGAAATCCAGGCCAGTGACACCAATACTCAGGCACCAACATACACAAACATGCTGTGCCTTGTTGAACTGTGTATACAGGTGGGGAAAGATCACTTCCAGAACCTCTTGTAATGCACTTCCATTTCTAAAACATAAAGTTTATATCATGTAAGAATTTAGCTTCATTTCCTCTTGTTATAAGACTTTATCACACTTTTCCAGGCGCCTCTTTCGAATGGATTGGATTAGATTGGATTATTCATTTATGGCAAAGCACACGAGGGCTATCTGCCTAAAGGGAGGGATGCCTTTGTGGAGGACTTTCTAAGGGAAACTGGCTCGTATACACGTTTCAGATGGGGAAAACCACGAAAACCTCCATACAGGCAGCACTTTCGCGGGATTCGAACCTCGGACCGAACTACCAGTGTTCAGCGTCTTTACCGCTCGGCCTCTGGTGGGCCTCCTGGCGAATGGAACACTCTGCATACATTAATTATCCGATTCAATATTTTTAACTGCTCTCGTAAATCTCTCCCTGCAGCTGGTAAGTCCGAGTTAATGTTTTCGTCCTCTATTTCACCTTTAATACCGCTATCATCCACCTCACAGAAAATATCATTTTCTGTTCGATCAACAGCATATCTTTATGCAACATTTTTTAAATAACCGGTTGACCGTCACTACCATAATTTTCGAGCAGATTGGCACTGGAAAACCATTTTAATTAAATTAGAAATCCATTTATTCTCACCTTCTTTGTTAAGTTTGGCGATATATAGCTAGATTTATAGTACGACTTTAAAATTGGATTACAGGCAGGTTTTTCAGTTTTGATTAAAATTTTGCAGCGAAACTTTATCTCTTGGCTTTTACAAGGTTGAACTACTTTCAGAGGCATAGGGAACTAAATACTTCGTTTTGATTTTCTTAATTTAGTTAAAGAAAAATATTTTGCTGTTTTTATTATGAGGCATGCGTTAAAACCTGTGGAATTATTGTAAGGTTTATCCTAAGTTTTAAACAGTTAAAGCTATTTTCCTCGACAGCCCCACAGTTTCTGACTAGCGCGCGTTCGCCTTTTGGCTACGTCTCTCTCTAAGCCGCTACTACTCTCAGCCGTATTTCAGGCCTTTGATATCTCGGTTATATCTTTTGAGTTAAGCTTTAGTTAAGTCTTATTATTTTGAGTCCAAGTGGAGGCTTTGCTGTACGCCCTGAGAAAGGGGCCGACTGTTTAACTCTTACGTTGAGCAATAAAGGGTAATTAACGCTTCTTGAGTTTACGTCTCTGTTCCTGAACTAAAGCGATTATTCGCTTAGCTGTTCCTCCACACTTGGTTGCTAAATAAAAGGATGTGCCTCATATTCTAAAGAACGAAATATTCAACATGATATGTTATGAATATGGCAATGTCCACAACTTGTCTGCCTAAAGAGAAGTGAAGGACATTCCAATGGAAACTGACTCGCATTCACGTTACAGTGGGGATGGACGATTCACTCCGGAATATAATTCCAAGAACCTATTCACTTTACTCAACGAATTGACTTCGATTTCTGAAAACGAATTTATATCTCTTTTACAGTTCACTGAGAGCTCTTGTTGGAAGTGTGCCAGGAATAGAAATCTGCTCTTCGCTCTGATCCCTTTACTGACGCAGCGAACGGCTGATTCGCGAAAAAACAGCGAACTCTTTTGGAATTTATCCACCGACAGCTGTTGTTGCAAGCGGGCCGAGAGAAAATTCAATTTCCATTTTAAGGCAAAAGAATGTTTATACTTCCAGATTAAAAGTGAGTTTAATTTTTATTATTTCTCTAGGTTTTGAAAAAATGTTTATTCCAGAACTTTATTGTTGTTTTATGTAGAAAGGAGGTTTTAGGGAATCTCAAAACTACAGTTAAAAGAAATCAGTTCTGAGATTAGCGTTTGAGTGAGTCGATTTTTACGATATCTGAGTTTTTTTTTTTTTTTTTCCTTCTTCTTTTTTTTAATTCTTCGCTCCTTTCTTGCTATCCGCTTTTGATGTTTTTCCAGTTTCTGATGATAGTGAGCGAAGATAATAAAAAAGAACTGGTTCAGTAAACAAATCTAGTCCAATCCCGCAAAAGAAAAGCTATGTCGGTCTCTATAAAATACGCCTTAACACTTTATAAGTATTTCTCTCGCCTTCTTAGCATGCCTTCATGGTGCAGTAGTCAGCACGCTCGACGCGAATTATGGTTCGAGGCCCGGGGAGGACATTGCTCATTTTTCATCTCTCCTGCTTCAAAATGGCCTAGTGGCTCTACAGTGGCGTCCGAACTAAAAGGTGGTGAAGGATGATTCTTCACCATGAGGATTTGTAATTTGGGTCCCCTAAGCCCCAGTTGCCCTTTAAAAGGGGGAGTATATAAGGTCTTTCTCCCGCCTTCTTAGCATGCCTTCGTGATGTAGTGGTCAGCACGCTCGACGCGTATTCGAGATGTCCGTGGTTCGAGTCCTGTCGAGGGCACTGCTCATTTTTCACATCTCCTGCTTCGAAATAACCTAATGTCTCTATAACTTGATGACTATTGCAAACTACTAATCACTCACAGAGCAAAATCTAAAACCGTAACCACTGAATAAAATGCTATCAAAACAGTGGCAGATTTTAAAGTGACTAACTGTTAGCCTCTTACATCGTCCTGTTTATAAGATTCCTCAAGCGGGCGGGGAAGCCCTTCTGGAAAATTCGAGGATAATCACAAAGGCCTGATAAATGAGTGTTCCAAAAGTATCCAGAATACCACCAGGTTAGCGCAAAATCGACAGCTCAGTTAGAGCTGAATGTCAGCTGCTCACAACGCCCTATCTATAATACCGCTCGAGGGGGAGTGAATGGCATTTCCGTTACATATTTTTAAATAATTCAAACCCTTCAAAATGTTGAATTTCAATGAATGGACAAGTCAGAAAACTGAAGAGAAACTTAGCTCTCAAAAATATGGTACGAGAGTGTCAGCATCACAGGGAGCCACTCGTAGCTGAGGCAAAGCGTTTTTGTTTTCCGGAAGCTTCGAGAAAGTCGCGAAGTCGTAAAAGATAATTTCTGGAATATAGTGAGGTTGGGAAAAATCGACGAATTTCCCGAGCTGTCTAACTGTCAACCACTCACAACGTCTTATTCATAAGATTGCTTGAGGAGGAGGGTAACCATTTCTGGAATCTTCGAAAAAAAAAATCCACCAAAGCTTTCGTAAATGAATTTTCCAAAAATTTCCATAATACTGCCAGATAAATTAAAAGGCACCACATATCGCCATCTTAGCAACACAGGATGGCTTTTGTCTGTATCTCGAATTCTATCTGAACTGTTCTTGCAATTCAAACGTTACCCAGTTGAGAGTAAAACGACCTGCAACTTTACACCTGAAATGAACACATGAAAACACAATAAGTAGCACCAAATTCGATTAAGCAAAAATTTCACGTTAAAGTTACCGTATTTCCTTGTGTATTTTCCTTCTGTTTTTCTTTAACTAATATTATCGTCTAAAATTCGAAAAGAAAAATTTATCCGAGTCATTTGATGCGCGAAGAATGCTATTACAGTGAGAGCAGAACAAATGAAAAGTGGTCACAGATACTGCAGATAACCTATTATCACAATATTATTTCTTTAAAGAGAACCTACATTCCAATAAGAATACATAGTGTACCGTAAGAACCTCCGAGAACGAGGATTAATGAGACCAGTGGTCTTTTAAATATTTATTTTAAAACTTAACAAAGATTTCTGAATTAATAAAAAGTACAACCGCAATACAGAACAGCCATAACAGACAAAACTTCCGCATCGCGGATCAGACAGTCGCTTTTGTGCGAATTCTACGGCATCTCTCTCTATATAAGCATAAATTCTCTACGAAAAAAACCCTCTTCCTTTCCTTTTACGTTAATGTCGCAAGAAAACCGCACAGGGAAGGGACTTGTCCTTACGTCTTTCTTTTGTTGTTTACTTCCGGTCATTTAGCGGACACTTAGTGATAGTTCGTAAGGAAACTGCACAAGAGGGGTGTCCTTAACGCGTTCCCTTTGTTAATTACCTTCCGGTCATTTAATGCATATATGGTAATTAGTTCTCATGAAAACAGGAAGTCCTCTAATTTAAAACTGACGTTCCATCATAAATGAGAATCGTTACAATAGAAATATTAATATTACAATATCTGAAGGAATTGAACCGTTATCTGATTGTAAATGCGCCGCATGGCATGTCCGGCTGACTTATCTTGCGAAAGCCCCAGGAGCACATCACATGAGTCAGCCTTCACCGATATTTCCAAGAAGGACATCGCGCAAACGAAAGAGAAAAGGAAGCGAACTAAAGACTTGGATTTAGAAAGATTGAACACATCAACAGTAGACAAAGCGACAGTGAGCTGTTATATAAATTACAGAAATAAGGTAAAAATCACATGTTTCGGAAGTTTCTTAAGTGTGAGAAAACTTGCTACGTCTGCATAGCTTGATGAAGAATACACACAAAATACGTTTTAAAAAGTAAATGCAAGGGAAAATAAAATACTTCTAGAAAGTTCAAATGCGTTGAATAAATAAATCAAAGAATATTTATCTCTATAAAAATGCGTACAACCTAATTAACATGCAAATAAGCGCAGATATTTACAAAAATTTACGAACTGTATCCTACCTACAAGCAGTAAACAGGGCAGATCTTTTAAGTTGTTAAAAATGGAGGATTGTACTAGACAAATGTATTGAATGAAATGCGTCGGAAGAACAAACTGTGGAAAACTAGGAGATGTTTCTAGCAGCTAATGTTTGAATTAGCTAATTAGATATGTTTATAATACTTAAACAATAATAATTCATAAAAATGCAAAAAGAGAAAACGATTTAAATCATGTAAAATGCAAAAATAAAACATAGGAGCAAAACACTGTGAATGGCCATTGGAGCAAAAACCAGAGAAATAAACTTAAGTAATTACTTCGAGTTTCGTGGAAATGCTAAACAGAAGCGAGGAAATACAGTCGTAAATAAACGTAGAGAGGCGCAAGTATTTTGCTAATTACTTTAACGTTGTCTGCTCCTGTTTAATGATCACTGAAGATCTGATTGCCTGCCGCATATAAATACAAAAAGAGAGATTAGTAAAAGACTTCAACTTTCCGAATTCGCTTCCATTAAGAAAATTAAAGCTACTGTCGGATCAAACAAGTTGCTTGTTGCTTTGTAACGTTTTATATTACTAATTTATAACTAGTTTACATTTCTAGTTTATTATTACATTGCTAGTTTACAATATTAGTTTACTAGTTAAATCACTAGTTTACGCTATTCATTTATTAGCTTAGTATTACATTACTAGTTTACATGGTAAAGACCTTAGTTTATGCTAACCAATTATGTTTAGCTTGTGAAACTTTCCTTTCTCTTCTGATTTCAGTTTCTTGTTAGAATGTAAATTTTAATGACTTCATATGCAAATCTAAAAGAGTTCGGAATCAGTATTTAATCAGCGGTTTCAGTAGGAGAGCTAGTTCTGAATTTATGCCGCGTGTTTGAAGTACGTGCTTAGCCACTGTCTTTAGATCGTATTGATACTCTAGGTTCGGCTTTGTTGTGTGCAGCCAATTTAGCGGCTTAGATAAATAAGAAGCCAGTTGCGTAGACAATCTTACTTAATGTGATTTTTTATTTTCTCTTCGAGTTACATAGCCACAAATGGTGCTAATTGTGAGCACCGAGTAAGTACAAGCCTTGTTAAGTACGTTTCAAATAAAAATATTATTTAAACCTTCTTCTGCAGCACCTGTTCTTCAAATTCGCTCCGAGAAGGACTATTAATTTCGTTTTGGCATTTTGCCTTGGTTCACTATAAATGTCGGTTCACTTTTCAAATCGTTGCCACCAAATGTTAGAGTCCTGCATTATATTTAAAGAAATTAAATAACGTAGAAGATGCAAAAATGTATGTATATTTTCTCGCACTGTGATAAAACGACGGTACCCAGAGCCATCCAATTTTGAATAACGTAATCCTCCTGTGAATATGGGCCTCTGGAAGCCCAAATTTGAAATTTGGAATTTGTTTTATGATCGATTTCATATTTTGTAAAACTTTAACGAATTTTTGATTAACAAACTCGAGGATTTCAAAGCGAGTCATCCGAACGCTGTACAGAAAAAATATTTTTATCTCCATCGCGCGGAACTGTGTATTGGAAATTCTAAAGATATGTTCATTTAAAAATTATTTTGCGATATTGCTCTTGAAGTGAATTTTATGGTTCAAGGGCGAAGAATAGGATATTTAATAAATTAAAGTAATACACAAGATGTTAAAAAAATGCCACTTTGGAAGTAATTTAAAATCTCCTTAGAGTTTCTTTGGTTCACGCTCAGGTTATGGCACTGTCTTGTCTGCCCCTTGGCTGTGGGGTCGTTACATGGTATATCGAAGCTTGTCCTAGGGGGTTTGGCTCCCTTTGGTCAAAACTGGGGGGATCGTCGATGTCTAACTACGTTTTTCGTTTTCTTTGGTTAACGCACCGTCGTCCACCATTAACTTTGTGCGTTTACACAGAGATTGCGTGAAACAAAAATTGTCCATCTGGGTTGACACATGGAGGTAGGAAAGGAAGGAGGGGCCAACTTTGCAAGTGAAGCACTGCTCCCAGGCTTCGGTCTCCAGTTGGGGTGTTTTTTGTTTACATTCAGGAGCTCCTTTGACAGCGCTTTGATAGTATTTTGACACACGACAGTTCCATACAAATCGAAAAACGGGACACTTCCGCATAAA